TACCCAAACATAAAGAATATATTGGACCTTCCCAAACAATTGCTAATGGATTTTATAAGAAAAATGGAATTTAATTATGAGAAGTTGGAAGGAAAAAATAAAGAGAATATTTAAATAAAAAAATATTTTTTTGTAATTTAATTAATTAATTTATATTTTTAAAATTGACTACGTACATAATTTATTATTTTCATACATTTTATTTCCTTATTTTTTTTAAAATGTCTTTAATTAAAGACAAGTTGAAACTATAATAAATTTTAATAAATATAAGAAATAAATTTTAAAATTTCACAAAAATTATTTTGGACCATTATTTGGCACTCCTACCATTTGGGGAGCCGCAGTTTTATTTCCATTATATCTAGGGTTGCCGTTTTCGGTTCGAGCCGACGTTCGGTGCATTTTTTTCGAGTTTGGTTTTTTTCGATTCGTTTACGAGCTTTTCGAGCTGAAAAGCCTCGGCTCACTCGATCTTTCGAGTTTTGGCTCGAGCGAGCTGGCAACCCTAGTTGTGATTAAAGACACATTGTAAAAAATGTTATGTGTTTTAAAAAACATCTGAGAAAGAAATTTTAAAAATGTTTCATTTGAAGGGAAGTATAAACAGAAACGAATTCCCTAATAAGGAACAATTACCATTAAATATTTATAAAAATATTATTCAAAAACATATATGAACATTTTAATGCCAATACATAAATTATCAACAATAATCACCTATATACATATCTAAACTTTAACAATATTTTCATCATCCTCTTCATTCTTTTCAATTTTTAAAACAAAATCCTTATCCTCCTTTTGTTTCTTCTTTTTCTTCTTCTTCTTCTTCTCTTTGTGTTTTATCAACCATTAAACTATTACTAGTTCCCTCACTAACAATTTCAACTTCCTCAGAATTTTCATTATCACTACTTGTTTCTTCATCTTCTTGTGTTTTATCAACATCCAAACCTTCATCTTCAGCTACAATAACTACTGGATTTATACTTAAATCGCTTTTGAATTCGTCTTCTGGTTTGTCTGTTTTATTGAGATAAATTAAATAATAACCAGTTGCAACACAAATTAATAGACTAAAAAAAGAAAAAATTATTTTTAATATGCACAAGAAGGGAACACCACGATATACCACAACCCAGTCTACCGTAAATACTGTATTAATTACCCTGGGTAATTATTGTTTCGATTTCTCGCTGGAGGGGGTAATAAAAGCAGGCGGGGTAATTATTTGAGGGAGGGCAATTGTTATTTCGACCTGTAAATTTTTTATTTTATCATAAATATAGGAACATGGATATACAATATGTTACCGAATGTAGAGATAAATGTTAAATTTTTACAGATATTCTACATACATTCCCTTAATTTTCATTTATAATGCTCCCTAAGATGGTCAATAACACCAATACTTCCTTACTGGGATATATAAAGACACTATAAGGATGTAAATAAGTATGTGCATATGATTTCTATTTAATGAATATACCCTACTTTATTTAAATATACTTTTTATAATATACCTAAAGGCGGGACCATACCATCAATAATTCCGTCTTCGGATATAAAAGGTCGATTTGAGGAATTTTTTTGGGAGATATCAGGTTAATATTAAAGGAGATATAATGGGACTTGGAGGGTTTAAGAGGTATTTCAACAGTATCAACTAATTAATTGGATTTGGAAGATTAATGTTGATGTATTCGGAGATATAAAGATTCGGAGGGATATCGGAGCATTAAGGTTTACAATCTTTTATCCAATGAATCCATTTTAATCGCTTAAATTTCACCCAAATCCTCCTTATCTCTTAATTTTCATAAATTCCGCGATACCCCCTCCAAATACTTTTATTCCCTTGATTTATTTCTTATATTGATCCTTAAAATGCCCATTATTGAAATCTTAATGATTTTTAATAAATATTTTCAAATTTAGCTTAGGAAAAATAGAGGGTAATTATTTGAGGGAGGGCAATTATTGTTTCGATCTCCCGCTGGAGGGGGTAATAAAAGCAGGCGGGGTAATTATTTGAGGGAGGGTAATAAATACAGTATATACGGTATGTCTTATTATACCTACTATACTAGTGGAAATCATATCTAGGAAATTTTGACATTATTTGCTTGACTCCTGAACTCAAGCTACGCCGGATGGTACCAAAATAACCATGATTAGAGATCGGACTGGGAGTGACATATGATCTTGCGGTAGACTGACTTAACATCAAAACACAACTTACACAAGTATAGCAAACATAATTATTGCATCAATTATTCCATCCTTTTTTCTTGCGTTTGGTTCTGGCGGAAATATAAGATTTATTTTTGATGTTGTTGTTTTATTCAAAGTTACTATTTCTTTTGTAGTTGTTACTAAAGTAATGTTTTCGGAAATGTTTAAAGTTTTTATTGATATTGTTTCTGTAATTGTTGAATTGTCTTCTTGATTTAATGTTGTAGTAAATGTTTTGTTTTCGAAAGGTGATAATTTTGTTGTAGAATAATTAATTGATGTTGGTGTTCTTGTAAATTTTTTCCAAGAGTTTTGTGTTGTTAATAGTTTATATTTTTTGCCGGACTAAAAAAATAAATATTTTAAAAAGAATTACAGTCGGAACTCAATATAAAATATTCAGCTGTAACTGAAAAATACCTTATGTATTATTTAATCAGATCCCCAATTCAATGGTCAATCAGATTTAAAAAATTATTTTTAATTAATTTATCTAGAAGGGAGAGGGCATATCTTACAATTAGTGTGGTTTGTCGGTAGATGTTCAGTTGGCGGTCTACATGTTCACAAAAACAAGATTCGAAGCCGGGCTTGAGGGCCAATGCAAAAATTCACGGTAAGAAAGGAAAAGAGCGGATCCACTTTGCGGACATATAAACCGCCAACTGGGCATTTACCTGCTTTGTCTATATTAAGTTAAAAATTAAACTTACAAATTTAATTATAAAGGAACATTTTGGTATAATTACAGTCTCTTCTTCATTAATTGTCCCATTTTCTGTGTAAGAAGAAAATATATAATTAGGCAATAAATGTAAAACAATTAATCGTTTGCCAATTAAACTTTCATCGCTATTATCTCCAACATTTATAATTTTCCAAGCCTTCACTGTTGCTAATTTTTTTGCACATTGGGGTTTTTCTAAAGGTGTTAAACAATTGGTTGAATTTTGATCATCTCTTTTTAGAAGAGGAAATGTATTCATATTAAACTCGAGATTAATAAATCTTTGAAAGATGTTGATTTCGTTTTTAGAACACAAAAAATAATGTGAACAATTGGGAGCTTAAAATTAGAATATATAAATTAGAAAGGCAATTTTAGAAATTATTGTTTCGATCTCCCGCTGGAGGGGGTAATAAAAGCAGGCGGGGTAATTATTTGAGGGAGGGTAATAAATACAGTATATACGGTATGTCTTATTATACCTACTATACTAGTGGAAATCATATCTAGGAAATTTTGACATTATTTGCTTGACTCCTGAACTCAAGCTACGCCGGATGGTACCAAAATAACCATGATTAGAGATCGGACTGGGAGTGACATATGATCTTGCGGTAGACTGACTTAACATCAAAACACAACTTACACAAGTATAGCAAACATAATTATTGCATCAATTATTCCATCCTTTTTTCTTGCGTTTGGTTCTGGCGGAAATATAAGATTTATTTTTGATGTTGTTGTTTTATTCAAAGTTACTATTTCTTTTGTAGTTGTTACTAAAGTAATGTTTTCGGAAATGTTTAAAGTTTTTATTGATATTGTTTCTGTAATTGTTGAATTGTCTTCTTGATTTAATGTTGTAGTAAATGTTTTGTTTTCGAAAGGTGATAATTTTGTTGTAGAATAATTAATTGATGTTGGTGTTCTTGTAAATTTTTTCCAAGAGTTTTGTGTTGTTAATAGTTTATATTTTTTGCCGGACTAAAAAAATAAATATTTTAAAAAGAATTACAGTCGGAACTCAATATAAAATATTCAGCTGTAACTGAAAAATACCTTATGTATTATTTAATCAGATCCCCAATTCAATGGTCAATCAGATTTAAAAAATTATTTTTAATTAATTTATCTAGAAGGGAGAGGGCATATCTTACAATTAGTGTGGTTTGTCGGTAGATGTTCAGTTGGCGGTCTACATGTTCACAAAAACAAGATTCGAAGCCGGGCTTGAGGGCCAATGCAAAAATTCACGGTAAGAAAGGAAAAGAGCGGATCCACTTTGCGGACATATAAACCGCCAACTGGGCATTTACCTGCTTTGTCTATATTAAGTTAAAAATTAAACTTACAAATTTAATTATAAAGGAACATTTTGGTATAATTACAGTCTCTTCTTCATTAATTGTCCCATTTTCTGTGTAAGAAGAAAATATATAATTAGGCAATAAATGTAAAACAATTAATCGTTTGCCAATTAAACTTTCATCGCTATTATCTCCAACATTTATAATTTTCCAAGCCTTCACTGTTGCTAATTTTTTTGCACATTGGGGTTTTTCTAAAGGTGTTAAACAATTGGTTGAATTTTGATCATCTCTTTTTAGAAGAGGAAATGTATTCATATTAAACTCGAGATTAATAAATCTTTGAAAGATGTTGATTTCGTTTTTAGAACACAAAAAATAATGTGAACAATTGGGAGCTTAAAATTAGAATATATAAATTAGAAAGGCAATTTTAGAATTTACCCATAAATGATCCAACAAACAATAACTTTTCGTCAACACAAATTCCTATTTGATAGGCACTAAACGGCAAATCATCATAGCCGAAAGCAAGGGTAAAACTGAAATAAAATATTTTTATATAAAAATATTGTAAAGCATATAGCTATTTAATTCCTAAGGCTATACAGTAGGCGGCGTGGTGTAACGGCTAACACATCAGTCCGGTCTACTGAGGATGCTGGCTCGCTCCCAGCCGCCGAATAACCCAGCCGCCAGAGAGAAATAGCTATAGCCCAGCTGCTTTACTATATTACATACAAAATTTTCTCATAAAACGATTCAAAACCAGAACAATTCATTAAACAATTAGATAATGAGTTGTGATGATATAATCCTAGTGTGAATTCAGCGACATGTGAAGTATCGTGAGGGTTGTGAGGGTTTAAAATATCCGAATCTTCAACAATTAAGTCCACAGTACAATTTTCATCCTTCCGAAAGTGCAAAACTCTAAAAATATTTTTTATAAACAAATTAGTAACTTAATTTACATATTGTTGTTGTAATCAATGTGCAAATCACAGGATTCCCTTGTTGATTGAACGACTCTTCTGTTGATATCCTCCCTTCCAGCAATCCTCGAACCATCACTCAGAATCACATTATCACCCTCCAATTTGTGCTTGCCTCGTCCAACTTCAATTATTCTAGTAGTAGATTCAACAAGATTTAACAATCCGACAGAATAAATGACAAAACCAAAGGTAGCCAAAAGCATTGAAACTGTTTTTGAGGAAGGCATGTTTTGATTGTTTAGATGAACAAACAACAAAAACATTGAGCTTTTATATAATACCATTATTAACTCGAGTTGGTAGATGTCTGAAACGAGCAAACATGTTTGTATCTCTATGTATTTGGAACTAATACATATGAGGGCCATTCATTTTCATATTTGTAATACCGTATAACCTTTATTAATTGCCCTCCCTCAAATAATTACCCCACCTCTATTATTTACCCCCTCCAGCGGAAGGTCAAAACAATAATTACCCAGGGTAGTTATTAAAGGATATACGATATTTTTCCTTATTTCTGTAATATATTTAAATAAAGATATCAAAATATACATACATATAGTATCGATATAATGAACTCGAATGCTTATTATATTGCTATTTTAGGAAAAAATTTTATTCAGTGACCGGTGAAAAGGTTTTATTTAATTCGAGTAGTTAAATAGACATAGCAAAGCAGCTGGACTATAGCTATTTCTCTCTTTTAGCTAGTGCAAAAGGTTATTCGGCGGCTGGGAGCGAGCCAGCATTTTCAATAGACCGGACTGATGTGTTATCCGTTACACCACGCCGCCTACTGTATAGCCTTAGGAAATAAATAGCTATATGCTTTACAATAGAGATCTGGCTATAAAAATATTTCAATCTTTATTAAAGAAGCATGTTTTATTTAAAACAGATTTTATATATTTTTCTAAACCTTGATGAAGATGTTTATTTTAATCAGTGTTCATTACTGCTAGAATAAAACTCACAGATCCTTTTAAAAGTTTTATGATTATCTACATATTCTTTGAAGTATTATTAGCATATTAATATTTAAATTCAATTTCCATTAAATATAACAATCCCTCTATATTTTATTAATTCAATTTTCTTATCTAAATATTTATAGTTTATTGTCAGATTGTTGATAAAGATAGAATTAGAGTTGCCGTTTTCGGTTCGAGCCGAAGTTCGGTGCATTTTTTGAGCTTGGTTTTTTTCGATTCGGTTAGTTTTCGAGCTGAAAAGCACCGCCTCGCTTGAGTTCCGGGTCGAGCGAGCTGGCAACCATAATTATATCTTTTGTAAACCAAATTTTTTTGACATAGTTACTAATTGATTTAGGTTCTTATTTTGAAGGTAATCAAAGCCGGTATCTACTGACATAAAAGAAAAAAGCCATTTAATTCCTAAAGGCTTTAGAGAAATCGGCTTGGTGTAATGGATAGCAACAAACAAGTCTGGTCAAATGAAGATGATGTTTTGCTCCCAGTTCCCTAACCTTTTAACTAATTGAGAAATAGCTAGTACGTATTGGCTTTCTTATATTTATCATAAAATACATAGCAGTTGGGCTATACTGTTCCTTAGTGCTGGTCCTTAGTTGATTACTGTTCCTTAGTTGATTTAAAATTGTTTCTATTTTAATTTATATAAAATTTTATTAAAATTTATAAAAAAAAGTACATAAAATATAAAATAAATAAATTTTGAAAAAAAAGAATTATTATTTTAAAAATTTAAAGTTGTTGATCCCCTTCTTCTTCATTAGGTGTTTGTTCTAATTCTGAGGAATAAGAAGGTGAAGAAATAAAAGATTGTTGTTGTAAATTATTTTTATTTGAGATAAAATCGTTTCCATTAATTATTTTATTATTTTCATTATTACAAAGAGAAATTGATTTTCGTTTTGAAGGCCTTTTGAAATTTTTAAATTTTAATTTCAATTTATTTAAGTACCTATTAGTATCTAACAACAACAAATCTTCTTTACTGTCAGCAGAAGATGTTTGTCTTTTAGATTTACGTCCCATTGCTTTAGCTATATTTGAATGCCCGTTTGGAATACCCGAATGCTTCCAACAATTAATTAAATTGCTATTTTGATGAGTATCTTTAAATTAAATTTGGTTAATTGAATTGTTTTCTTTATTACTAAAATTTAAATAAAATAGTTCTCTTAGAGGTCTGTTTTTGATCAAGATTTAAGTATACCGTATTTGCTAAAATATTTACCCAGGATAATTATTGTTTAACCTCTCGCTGGAGGGGGTAATTAAAATGGAGGGGGTCATTATTTGAGAGAGGGACATTATTTCAGCATCTACGGTTATATGTAGTGGGATAAAAAAAGATTGCGTCTAAGAATTGAAAAAAATAGGGAAATTATCTTATAAGAACTTCAAATATTTCTAAGTGGATATAGGCAGTTCTACTACAGTGACACTCCGACGGACCTATAAGCTAGTTTTTTGGAGTGTGACTATCTATTGAGATTTAAATTCATTTATTTACCATTTTCATTAAATAAACTATTAGCTTCATCTGGGGGTATATTTGTATGTATTGCTGTAGTTATTGATGTTGAAGGTTCGTGCTGTCTTCTTTGTAATTGTGTGTTTAAAAGGCTTAAACAAAAATAAATAAAATTAATTATAATTTAACCAAACAATAAGGTCACACTTTTGGGGCTGGATTTGTATTGTCTTATATGTAGTAGTATCCCGACTCCCGAGGTCATTTTCCGACCCGACTCACGTTTTCCGGATTTTTTCTTTTTCCAAGTATCACTACCTTATGGGGCACCTTTTTCAATTAAATATATTAAATAGAGGGTATCACTCGTAATGATCCCCCAATCAATGATTAATCAACTTGAAAACCGTATCCTAAATAGAGGTGGATCTAGTAATATGTGTGTTTTATAGTGAGGCCCAAGTAATTTAAAATACCTACCCATAAAGTATCCAATTCGAAGCAGACCCCAAATAAGGGAGTAAATGAACACAATAAATAATAAAAAGAACTAATTCTGATGTTGGTTTATCACCCGTAAATATAGACATCCAAATAGCATAAAGTACAGAACACCTTTTTTAGATTAAATTTTTTTTTGAAATTTTTAAATTAAAAAAACCAATAAGGTGTCCAACAAAGGAAATATAAAGCAGCAATTAAAATAGTGTAAATAGTTATTCTACGTAAAGGTATTCCACTTCTTAATTGTTTTGTATGTTTGTATAATTTACGAATTAAACAATAATTGAAATAAACAATCAAAATAAGAGGAACTAAATAACCCAGGAAAAACGTTGAAGAAGTAAACCTTTAAATTTAAAATTTAAATTTTAGAAACAAGAAAATTAAAGGTGGTACAAGATCGTTTACTTTGAGGCCTTAAAAAATGGTGGCATTTTCTAACAATTACATATATCCGTTAGGGATGGGACGAGGCGAGAAAAAATCGGGTTTTGGGTCGAAAAAGATCCAGGTTTCGGGTACACTAAATTTAATTTCTTTCCAAAACCGGGCCGGAAATGGGACAGAAATAATTTATAAACTAATTATAAACAACTCAAAAATTACCGTCAGGGACGGGACAGAGTGAAAAAAAGCCTGGGAAGGTTTCAAGTATACTAAATTTTATTTTCTTCCCAAAACCGAACCGGAAATGGGTCTTTTACTGTCTTTTAAACGATCTTGTGTAATCATAATTCTTACCAATAAAAAACTAGTGGAGGTAACATATCAGAACATCTAAAAAATATTCAAATATGTTAGTAAAATTAAAGAAAAACATACTTGTATACACGTACTCGAGTAATATTTGTAATTCCTAATACTGGATCTGGTTGGCGAAGTTGGTGTAACTTTAGGTAATAGAAAAATACATAACCGTTTTTGTAAGATTATTTATTCAATCTCCGAGGAAAAAATAATTTTAGAATTATTCTCTCTAATCCTCTTAACTAAGTAGTTCAAGACTTGTTTGAAATCGAAAGCGATTTTTTGGTAAAACTAAACCGATTTTATAAAGCTAAAATTTAAAAGATGGAGCTTGCTTTAAAGGATCAAAGCCGATTTAGAAAATTATTAAAAACGGAGGGTGATCGGTCTTAAACCTTTTCTAAACCCTTACCATCAAAAATTATTTACATTATTGTTAAATAGATATTTAGATAAATTACTAATAAATATTTTATTTAAAATTAAATAATTACAAGAATTTCATTTGCCCTAGCATATGTAAGCATTGGCAAAAGAAGAAGGAAAGCAATTAACCAAAGAGCTAATAAATTAATAAAAATTAAAATTTTTTTTAATTTTTTACCAAAAATAGTGCAAAGAACAAATCTTCTTGAACGAAATTTTCGTTTATAAGGATGGCATACAGCAACCCAACGGTCAAAAGACATTGCTGTTATTATAAATGTTGAAACAATTCTTCCAACAGAACCAAAAATGTGATGCCTATTTTTTAAAATTATTTTTAAAAATAATTTTTAAATTTATATTTACAATTTACATATAGGAGTTCCAAACATCCAAAAACCAATTATGCTGTCCTTAATTTATTTTTAAAATATTTTTTGATAGTTAAAAAATTAAATATTTTTTCCTCTTTCCTTCTTTCTCTCCAAAATATTGCAATTGGTTAAAGATGATCGAAGCTTAGTGTTAGTTAGAACAAAACTTGATCATATAAAGTTCATTAAATGGATTAGTGATAAAAATAACAAAAGTATGGCCCATCGAAGGCCAACTTATTTTTCTTTTTTAAAACTATTCTCCATCCTTTTTTTAAATTTTATTTTTATATTAAAAGCCATTTATGCCCTTGGCAAAGATTGGATAGCAGATATTTGGTTGAATCTATTTAAAAAACAAGTTGACATTTATAAACTTCCGGATAAATGCTCCCTTTATATCGCTTTCCAGATGCGCTATTTCTGGATAGCCGCTATTTTATATACCTCAACACATTTGACTATTTGCAATATTTTTGATGAAAAAAGAAAAATATAGAATACCCAAAAAATAACAAAAAATTTTTTTTAATTTACCAAAATAGCTGGAGGCAAAGATAAAGACATTAAAAAATCAACAACACAAAGAGCCTAAATAAATAAATAATATGAAAAATATTTAAGTAATTAATTTACGGCAATATATAAAATTGTGTTGTCTGTACTTCTTTGAGAATTTGGAAGATGCCCGGTACGTGAAGAATTTTTTGGTTGAATTCCTTTAATCATTCCATAAATTAAAGTTAATACGGATGCTTAAAAGATAAATTAGATATTTTTTAAATTTATTTTAGGGCTGGTAACAGTTTGGATTTTATTAGACATATCTGTACTTGGCTATGTCCGTTGGAGAATTTTTTTGGAATTTTAGGCCTAGAAGCATTATCCGACGGATATGACATTTATCTCCATATCCACGTACCTGCGGACATTTTTCTTAACTATATCCTCAACTAGTCAAGATTTAACTAACCATTTCCACATATTCCAACAACCAAACATAAAGTAAAAATAATTACAACAGCCAATACTTTTGGTTGAAGTTCCTTATAGAAAATAAATTTTTAATTAAATATAATTAATTAATTACTTGAATAGGGGGATATACATTTCTTATGAAATATTCAGTACCTCCAGGACAAATTCGAGTGCCCCGAGAGGTTAAAGTACAGATAGACCAATCCATCAAATAATTATTTTTTAAAAAATTAATTAATTGCCTTTAAAATAAAATAATTTTTATTAATTGAGAATATCAAGAAAAGATTTGGAGATAAAATATAATTTAAAAAAGAGACAGAAAGATAAAATTTAAATTAAAAATTAAACTGATAAAATGCAGCAAGGATGGGACGGTGGGTTTTTTAAGTGAATTATTTAATCAACTCGAATCTTGGGAGAAAACAGAAATTTTAAAAATTTTTGAGGTCAAAATTTTGTTTTATTTGTTTTCCCCCAATATACCGTAAACCCCGATCCGAGAGCCGAAACCCGGTCTTTATTTCGAACCTAAATCAAAACCTGATCCGAAGAAAAATTTTAAAACACGATTCGAAATCCGAACCGAAATATTTCTCAACCCGGCACATCCTCGATATACAGGTAATTTTAAATTTACAAATAAAATAAAGGATTTTCAAAGTATATTTATTTAAAGTAAATTAAAAAAATAATTTTTTAATAAATAAATAAAAAATTTATAATTAAAAATATAGGTAAATTCTTTTACAAATAAATATATTTTATTTCCGAATTTCTCGCAACACTATAAAATAGTACATATTAATTATTATTTTATTATTATAAATTTTTTTAAAATAAATTTTTGACAAATGATGCTTTAGTTTTAAATAGAGAGGAGATTGATGACTAAATTATTAAACAAAAAAATAAATTAAAAAAGAAAAAATAAATATACTTGTAAATGACACAAAATTCTCTTAAAATTTCTTAATTTAAGCAAAAATAAAAAATATCTGTTAATGATTTCTAGTATTTATTTAAATAAATAAACAGTTGTTGTTAATTTTTAATTTTTAAATTTTATTTTTATCTATTAATTACTTAAATAAATTATTTGCCAACGTATTTTTAAAAATCAATTATTTTAAAGCATTGTGATCTTTTATAAAAAAACAAAAAATAAAAATCAATTTATTTAAATAAAAATATTTGTAATTTTTAAAAATAATTTTCAACAAAATATATTAATTAAAAATTACAACAAAAAATTTTAAAAATTATTTTAAAGAGAATTTAATGAGAAATTTCTTAAAAAATTTGTTTATTTAATTTAGTTTAAAAACTACAGTAAATGCTCGAATAATTACTCTCTCTCAAATAATTGCCTCCTCTCAATTAATTATCACATCTAACGAGAGGTTGAAATAATAATTACCCAGAGTAATTATTCGAGCATTTACGGTGATTCATTGCTTGATTTAGATTCGTGATAGATATCTCAAAAATCTTTTGGAGAATTTTTAAATAAAATATATTTTCCTTATCCAATATTTATTTCCTCAATATTTATCAAAATAAAAACAAATAAATTTCTGTTTTTTCTAAAAAAATAAATTTTTTCGAAAAAAAATAAAATTATATTTAATTATTTTCTCATTATTTTAAAACAATTGTTTTCATTGTCCTTTTATTTTTTAAATTGGGAAAGCAGAAATTGTTTTTTAAAAAAACAAATAAATAAATATTTCTTTAAAAATTTTTAAATTTTGTATTACTAGTTAAATAAATCTATTTTTGAATTAAAATTAATAAAATAATTTTTTTAACATTTTTAATTAATAATTTTTAATAAAAATAAATATTTTTAAGGCTTCTTCTATTTTATTTTAATATTTTTTTTATTAAAAAAATTCTTTTTGGAAAATTATAAATTTATTTGACAATTGTGTGTCAGAGTAAAAATAACAAAAAGAAGCCTTTTTAAAAATTTTTTAAAAAGATTTTATGAAGAGATTCTTAAAACTAAAATAATTTTTTAAATTATTGTTTTAATAAAAGAAAAATCTTTTTTCAATAAATGTTGCCAAAATATTAAAATAAATTTATTAAAAATTCAAGGAGTTTAAAGAATTTTTTTTAATTATTTAGGTTGTAAACTAAGTTTTAAGCCCTCCTTGGGTGAAGCTCATTAAATAATTAATAAAATTCAACAAAATGTTTTCAAAATGTAATGTATTTTTCTTTATGTTCATAAGAGATTTGCCTATTATTGGGCGAAAAATCTTAGTCATAGGATTAAGTCGGCAGGGGATCTAGAGGTAAAATTCAAAAATTCGAATTTTTGAAACTTGGCAACTTCTAAGTAATCTGATAGAGAAGAATTCGAAAAATAAGATGCTATGGAAAACTCTAGGGGGCTTAAGAAAAAACTCTTAAACTTAAAACAACTCTTAAAACTTAGTTTACAACCTGAATAATTAAAAAAATAAATTATTGTTCTTTTGCTTCATATGTAACAGAGAAAAAGTTGAGAGAAATAATTAAAAAAATTTTTTATTTAAGAAAAAAACTCTTAAATAATTATATATTTTAAACAAAAAAAGAACAAATTTACTTTTTATTTAAAAAAATATTTTTTTTCAAAAGTTATTTATTTAAATAAATTATTAAGTAAATTACTAGGTTAAAGAATCTGCAAAAAAACTAGTCTAGAAAATTTTTTAATTATTTTTTTTTAAAAAGTGTTGATAATTAATGTAAAAATAATCTTTATAATGTATTTTTACTTTTCTAATCTTTAAACTCTTTTTTTTCAAAATTTAAAACAAATGTTCATCACAACAATTTTAGCAATATATATTGAGTAAAGTTATATTTTTAGTCTTTTTATATAAAATATTAAATTTCAAATAAAGATTTAAATGATATGGATATTAAAAAAAAATAAATTTAAAAATAGATAAAATAATTTAAAGAGTCAAAATATTAAAATAAAAAATAAATTTTTTTAAAAAAAATTAAAAAAATATTTTTGCTTACTAATAAAATAATTAATTATTTTATAATTCTCATTAATTTAAGTCCAAAAAATCAAAAATTAAAAAAAAATTATTTATTTTTTAAATAATTAATTATCCATTTTTTAGTAGGTTGGGGTCATTTTGGCGCCGGGCCGTATGGCGCGAGAACTGAAAACTGGCACTTAGGCGAGACCTAAATTCACAAAAATTTTCTCAACTTTCTTTAACATCCTTGACTATCTCCTCCAGAAATTTAAAAATTTTTCATCAAATATTTCTGAAGTTATGGTCGATAGACATCGAAAAATTAGGCATTTTTCAGAAAATCAACGTTTTTGGCCACGATTTCTGAAATATTTGATCAAAAATTCTGAAATTTTTAGTTAACTTAGATAAAAGTGCGAGAGTTATTATTGCAAAATTCTATCTTTTTTGATAAGCAACTCACTGTTTTATAAGCTCGCGCCTGAACGGCCCGTCCCTTTTTTAGTTTGTCAGAAAAATATTTAATAAATAATTTTTTAAAATAATTATTTATTTTATTTTAAATTAAAAAAAACTTTAAAAAACATAAGAGAATTCTAAAATGAAAGAAAAAATATTTTTCTGAAACTGACAAAAAGAGAAAATTGGAAGAAAAGTATTTTTAAGAGTAGAGGAGGGAATAATTGCTTGAAAAAGAAAATTTTTTTAAAAAAAGTAAAAAAAGGTTTATAAATTTACTGGACTGTTAAATAATTGCTGCCGCATTTGTTTTTGGCAAATTGATAAAAAAATATTTGGATTTATTTTTAAAAAGTTAAAAAAACTTTTTTTAGAAAACCGGAAAAAATTTTAAATTGTTTTTAAAAAATAAAAATAATTATTTAAAAGAAAATGGAGTTTTTAAAAAAATTATTAAGTACATATTTTGGCTTCTTTTGAATATTTTTTGTATAATAAAATGAATAAAATGTTTTATAAATGAATAAAAAAATCTGTGACGTAAATGTCTATAAAATATCTTGAGGTGATTTCTGAAGAAAAGGATATAGGAAGGAAAAGATTCTGAAGAGTCTACTGGATACAGAAAATAATTACTTAGCAAGGATCAACGTAAAATCGCTTTATAGAGATGTCCAAGATATGTCCAAGAACGAAAATTTTCCAAGACTCAAGATTCAAGACCATGACCAAGACCACACCCCAATGACCAAGACCGAAGAAGACCCAAGAAAAGTCTTGAGTCGAGAAAAGCTTGAGTCAAGTGAAGACCAAGAGTCTTGGACATCTGTAGTGAACGGTGTCAGCAGAATTCCCACTAGAAGAATTTTGAAAAATGGAGAAGTAAATTCAGAATATATCAATTTATCCCTTAAAACTAAATTTCTATTTTTTGTTAAATTAAGTGATAGCATAAATTTCTAAAAATAATTTTTTAAAGTTTTTTTAAATATTCTTCGGATCAAGTTACTTAATAAAAAGAGTATCTAATTTAATATTAAAAATTATTTTTTTAATTGTAGACTACTTCCTGTTTTTTAACTAAATTAGAATAAAATGTCTTTCAAATATTCAAAAAAAAAGAAAAAATAAAAATTTAATTTTAAACAAATTCAAGACATTAAATGTCCCTCCTACCTAACCTAGACATTTTTAAATAAAAATAATGAGAAAATATTTTAATAAAAGAGCTTTTTCTTTTAAATTTGTTTTCTTTAAAAAAGTATTAAAAATAAATAAATAGCTAATAAATGTCAAAATGTGACTGACAGACTGGAAAGGGCAAAAAAATTTATTTAAAAAGTTTTTTTAAAAAGTAAATATTATTTTTTGGAAATAAATAGGTGGAAGCGGTTTTAAAGGAAATATGAAATGATTTTTTACTTGAAAAAATTTTTTGAAAATTTTTTGGTACATTTCCGTTATACGACCGCAAACTGATGGCAGTCGAATTTGATCGGCTATAAATTTTTAATGCTTGATCCAATACAAACGAATTTCATATCATTCGAAAGCCCTCGAAAATTTTTTCTAATAGGATAGATAAAATCTGATCACTCATTAAAAAGTTATAACCAAATAGGTCCAGTTATTTGATGTTTTCAAATTTAACGAGTTATACCTTTTTAATGGGTGATCAGACTTGATCCATCAAGTTGGAAAAAAGATACCACTTATCGATGGTTTTCGAATAATATAAAATTCATTTGTATTGGATCAAG